GCCTCAATATAAGAATATAAATTTAACACATATTTCTGAAATTCAGAAAATATATTAACAATGATTGCATTATATATAACAAGTAAAGCAAATAATATTATTTTCTTTAATATAAGTAGGTAGAGTCTTGCTTTTTGTTTCCTGAGACAAAACTAGTCCAGTAATGGTTTGCAAAATGCTAGTTTTTCCCTTACAAATCTTGATAATGCACAGTTTTTAGAATTTTTTTTCTATACCTATTTTAAAAAGTTGCTACTAAGCTAACACTACTTAAATTAGAAATTATTAAAGATTATTTTTAAAAGTAGTCTTTTAATACTCTAAAGAAACGATATATGCAAAAATTTTTGCTGTGTTTGTAACACTTGAGTTCTTGAAAAGTACTCTAAAGCATATAAATAAGTTACCCGGGCAATTGATCTACATCAGCCAATCAGACGAATTTCTGTCTATGACCTGAAAAGTCTTGTTATGTATGTCGTAAATCAAAATTTTCAGGGGGCGTTACATCCGGAAAATACCAAAACTACGTTTTTAATATTTTTTCAAAAACGTAATTTTAGTCATCAAAGGGCTAAAAGTAGCTTCGCTCCAGACAATAAACATATATACATGTGATCTATTAGCATAATATTCTGGCACCCACTCCCCTGCTAAAAAAATCAGATGATAAACGACACTTCCCTTATCATTAACGATTAATCTAACGGTTTTTAATCGTTTATAAAAATTCTTACTGTTATATGCAGTTAAATGAATAACGGACCCAATCTCTAAGATTAGAAAACTTCATTAATACCAAATCTTTTTTTAAAAAATAAAAATAAAAAAACTTTTTGTTAATACAAGGCAATTTCATAAGCAAAACTTTAAGCTACGAATAGAGATTGGATCCGTTGAGAAAACCTCAACAGTAATTTGTTAAATTCATACGAGGGTTAAACCTTTCGGTTGACAAGATTATACCATACTCATAAAAGTTTATTTCGCCAACTTGATGTAATTTATGTAAAGATGACATCATATTGGCGAGGGATATCTCTAGTAACGATCCCCATCTCTTTTGTCGTCTATATACTCCTTGTTCGCGGATTAGTTGATAGCAATAAGAAAGATACTATTCATTTGTTTTTTGATTTTATAAATATATAAAATTCTTCAAAATTCCAAATTGTAGATAACAAATTATATACTCTTTTATAAAAAAACATTTGTAATCAGCTCTATGTTTTGTAAAAAAGACAAAAAAGTAGGTTGGTTAAAGATTCTGCCTCAATATAAGAATATAAATTTAACACATATTTCTGAAATTCAGAAAATATATTAACAATGATTGCATTATATAT